CGGTTTAACTGAAATAAACTCTTATCTACTTTTGGTTCAATTAAACCCAGAGTTTCCCTTAAATTATCGATATATTTGCGAAATTGTCTGCCTTTCAGACTATAGATAATACCGGAGACCAAACAAATGACATTTCTTCCCAATAAATGTACAAATAATTGCTTTATTTCCGATTGTGTGTGTGTTTTGATCCACAAACACATCATATTCTCGACCAGACATGGAGTGGTCATTGCGATGATATAGCCGTGGATTAGTATTTGATAAATAAATAGCAAAATGTATTTAATCGTTTGCTCGTTGGAAAAAACACCGTAAAGACCTAATCCAAAAATTCTGTGCACTTTTATTAAAAGCTCAAAATAGTCATCAATTCTTGGCTTAAATGATAACATTGTTTCGACTATAATATAAACTCTGGAAAATATTTTGTTAGATATTTCTCAATATGTTTTTATTTAGATTTTGAACTTATTTTCAAGACTAATAACTTATAGACTGACCAATAATTGACTGAAATGTATTTTTAATGAAAATACATTAGATTTTTGTATAATTAAAACATTGCTCGCATACAATGTAAAAGTATAAATTAAAGTAAAGATCACATTTAATTTGTGTAATCTTTTGGTATAAGTTATGCAAACAAACAGAAGTCGTTTACTTACATAACAGTAAAACTGTTTACATATTAAACATGTATAACACAAAAGTGTTGACAATTCAATATTTCCCAAACTATGCCTAAATTTAGCTCAAAAATAATAATATCCTTATATTCTTTGTTGAGATGTACTGTCCATTGGGTTCATAATAATAACAAATAACCTTTTGTTAAACATATTTCTATAACAATACATTGTATTTTCTACATTAAATTTGTTTGAAATACTAAAATGTTTTCTTTTACTCGACACCAGTTATAACTTAAATTTGTACAAAAAAATTACATTAATTTTTATTTATTTGTAAATATAAAAAACTATTATGTATTTATCTATGCCTTACAGTTATTGAGTTTATGGAAATACCTTTTTGTATTGTATAATTATTATTATGATCATTTTTTATCATTGTCAATATTGTAACAAAATGTCTATAATAAAAGTAATCAAATATGCCCAAGGTTGTGCACGTGTGAACTTTAACATTGCTGGCGTACCTTTTGGGCAAATGATTTCAATTTAAGTAATTATTAATCGATAGGACATTGAAATTCAATTGTAAAAATTGCAATTATTTTCTCGCTGTATATGAGTATCAAGATTTCACATCATTTAGAGGACATCCCATATATTTGTTGTCATTTTGTTGTATTTCAATCAATCCATATAATTATTTCATGCATTGGTTTTAAATCTTATTGAATTTTGTTTGAATCTTAATGTTCCTGACATTGAAACCAATTTGATATTAATGTATTGATAATATATTTTGTCGTATTATTTAATGTCATAATTGTATATAATATATTTGATGTCATACTTGAGGCAAATATTTGCTATATTTAATGCAAATTGTATTGAATTTATAGTTTTTTGTATTAAATTAGTTTTTATCTAAATTGATAATAAAGTTATTGTTTGCAAATATTTCTTAAGTTTAATTAGAAGTAAATTTATTGTAATGTTTTAAACAAGATTTGAAATTATTTGACCACAAATTTGCACAAAACATTTTATGGCTTTATCTGCAAAAACAAAACGATAGTAAATGTTAAGTAAATTTTAAAACAAACACAAAATAGATTACAATCATAGAAATTAAATCATAATTTTCTTTAATTAATATTTCTTTGTTTGTTTGCATTGTTTTGGTTATTATGTAACAGAAACTTGTAATTTACATGAATTAATACATTTTAATAAACGCTAAATTGATTTTCAAACTACAATTTAGCGAAAAATTAATAATTTTGTCAAATTTCCCAAAAGAAACAACAATTTGAAGGATTAAAACATAACTTAATAGACGGTTATGTTTTAATAGCATTTTTTGATTAATGTTTTTATACAAAAAACTATAAGATTTTTATAATCACATTAAAAATCCTTTAAAAGATTTCAGTTTATTTGTTAAAATTGGCCCAAATTATGATGACTTTTAATTAAATCAGTAGTTTCTTACGAAAACATGTCAAATATTAAGGTCTAAATTAAAATATATTTTAAAATACATTATTATTGTAAAAGTGTATGAATTGAGGAAAAAAATTTCGGTAATTTGATGTAATTATATATGGGATTCACTTTCTCTCAGCACTAATATATCGTTTAATAAGTTGTTATGAACTTTTAAACTACTAATTTAACCATGTATTCAAAGATATTATTTCTTATTTATTAATTTATTTACAATATTTTATTAATAAACAAAAATAAACATTAATTACAAATTAAACCAAAAGAATTTTTATATAATTATTTTAATTATTAATTTCTTTAAAAAATATTTTTATAAAAAATTTCTTTATTACAAATCATTTGTTAATATAAAATATAAAAAATATATACAACAAAATAAACATTTTAAATAAAAGATTATTATAAAATTTAAATATTCCTTAATTAATAAACAAAATTTTAACAAAAGTTATAATAATTATAGTAATAATAATCCAATAAGCACTATATGATTACAAATATCTAGTTCAATTGAAAATTTTTATATAGATCAATGCTATAGAAATCAATGGATTAAAATAATTATAATTATTTGTTAAAGAAAAACTATATGTAATTAATATAATAATAAAACTAAAAATTTCTACAAATTATTTTTCGTTTTCATATAAATAATAACATATTTAATACAAGCATTGAATTGCATTCAAATTAAACGTGGTTTTAATTAATGAAAAATCACATGATATAATAGCAATACCATTGAGATGTGCATTGATTTACTCGAGGAATGTATTGTCGAGTACAATAAGTCTTTGTCCCAAAATAATCTTAATGATAGCAATGGTCCAAACGGGCCATTTAGCAAACAATAGGCCAAATATCCAGTCAATGAAACCAATCGTGATTTTTAAGCACATATTTCTTGTCCTATCGGAAGCGAAATACTCGGGAAGTCCTTTGCGTTCAATCACTGAATCAATGGTGTGTTGGGACGGCTTCTTGAGGTCATACGCGAGACCAATGCCTTTACATATGTCTATGAAAAGAGTGGCCGGATTGAAGATCTCATACCATGTCTTCTCACTGTTTGAATAGTCTTTTTCCACAATTAAGTTAATGTCAATTAATTGAATAGATATTATAGTTGACACATAATTATACAGTAAATTTTTATATACAAATTCCAAGTATATAAATTCATACCCCATGGAAACGTGTGGTGATAGTTATGATTTCCTTCGCCCATTGATATCCAATTTATAATTTTATTTTCCGTGGGTTTCATAAATCTATCGTAAGGACTATTTTGAACAAATAAACAAAATTAAAAGAATTAAATAAGAAATTAATTGCAATAAAATTAATGATTAAACAAACCGATCGCCGAGAAAGTGAGCGACACTATTGACGGTAAACAAGTGGTGCAAAACAACGACAGTCCGGAGACAACTGCAGATGAGGAATGCGGTCAATATATTCTCCTTCCAGGCGAGCACCGGGAGAAGCGTTGGGAAGACATAGCCCAACACTATTACTAACGGGATGTAAAGCTTATGCTGATAATAGACAATGGGATCCTTCGTCAGGTCATCGGTGGGCACTTTGTGGCCGTATTGGATAACCTCCGGGCGCTTCTTCAGGAGCCACCACCCCATGTGCGCGAAGAAGAAGCCGCGGCCGGGATTCTTGGGGTCGGCGTGAGTGGCCGGCCATTTGTGGTGAGCCCTGTGGTCGCGCGAATACGACAATATACTCCCATTCACTGTCATTGTCTGCAATACGGCTAATATAATCTGCAGAGGAAGTCGGGCTTTGAAGGTCCGGTGCGACCAATACCGGTGTCCGCCGACAGACATACCAAACCCGGAGGCGGACGATATAAATATGACAAATATGAGAGTAAACAAATGTACCGGATTGACACACGAGTGGATATATCCGTAAACGGCCAACACGTGCATCACCGACAAGAAGATCACGTTTGACCATTTGATTTGTGCGAATCTGTACCCAAATATGGTGAATTTGGCCGTTTGTATCGCCGGCTCTTCTTTGTTTGAATCAATTTCAATAGTTGTCTCGTAATAACCGAAATCAAGTGCCAATTCTTCCACATCTTTAGCCTTTAGGGCAACACTTTCTTCGCCCGTTGTTTCGCATTCACTTTCTGTCGGTATTTTGTCAGTAGTTTTTGGTTCAATTGATTCCGACATTCTCTTGGGTTTAGTCTCTTATCAGCGAAAAATTTAATAAAACATTTGATTTAATGCCCACTGAATGACAAACACTAATGAAAGTTCCGGTAATTATTAGTGATAAACATTTAGATAAAGAATATAAAAGTTTTTTCAAACGTTTTTCTCATTTTTCTTCTCTAAGATCAGACATATCGTTAAAATATAACTTAATTACACTTAATATTAATTAAAATTTCATGTATATAAAAATAAATTGAATGTATATTTCTAGTTAATTGGCTTATTTGTACATTTAATTATAAATATATAAAATCAAGTATAAAATCAAATATAAAATAAAGATTATTGATATTATTAAAAAATAAAATTAAATAAATTCTATAACTTTTACATTTAAAGATTTTATATTTAAAATTCTATAACCTTTATATAGAATATTAAATTCTTTAAATAAATGTGATGTTAAAAAATTCTTGTAAAAATAACTTACATTTTAAATAATGTAGAAAATGAATGATATAATAGCGAGAGTTTTGTTGTAATCACACATTAATAACATATCAGCGAAAGTGATGTTCACATTATAATTATTAACTCCAATGAATGCAAGCATTCATTGAAATGTCAAACTTGTTTTGGACGCAAAGCACACAAAAAATAACAAAATAATTGATTTAATGTCTCGTTTTGCTTGTAATTTAAATAAATGTTAACAATTTTTCTTCAATCAAATGCCAAAAAATTTAAATGTTTACAAAATATAGTGTAAAACAAATGATCACTGATTTTGTAAAATAAAAAGTTGTGACACTTGTGTTGCAGTGTATCCTTAAACCCGTTATATATTTGTACATAAAATTACTTTCACTTATAAAATAGTCTTTATTTTCTATCGATTAAAAATCTTTTGCATTAAATATGAAAAATTGAAGAAAAATTTATACTTGAAATCTCGAAACCTTTGGAAATTTTTTTTATTGGTATTCAATTAAAAATCAAATGTCGAGAGAGAGAGAGAGAGAGAGAGAGAG